GGAAACTTCCTCTTGGGTATGCTAAATCAATTCTTCTCCATTTTACCTTGTAGTATAAAGTGCTTGGTTTGACTAGTTTAAGTGTGGACGTGGTTGTGAGTTCTTGATACACCGTAGACTTGTCACGGGGTATGCTTGAGCCTATACTCCACATTAGTCCCTCAGTTCCTACGAATCAATCAAGCACCTAGGCACCATTGGTTGAATGAATTGAGTTGATTTGGGATCCCCATTGGAATGACCTCTTTGGATTAGCCAACCTTGTTCTTATTGCATTTTACCACCAATCTTCACTCACCCAAACACCAATTCACAAGATTTTACACTTTTCTATTTTTTCAAAATCACATTTACCATAATTCAAACTTCCTTCCCTAAGGAGACAACCTTGAAATACTCCATTCCATGGAAACATGACACTCGAAAGTCTCTCTACGCTTGGAGAGCATTTTTGCACACACACATTTTTCCTATTTCTAGCATTGAACTTGAGGGAGAGTGACACTCGCCTATGCACATAAGCCATATATAGTATTTTCGGAGATTAGGGTGAACGAAAATCAAGTAGTGAGCTGAGGTATTCCTTAAGAGCTTTGAATACCTCCCCACATCGCTCATCCCAATGAAAAGCTGATTTTAGTAGTTTGAAGAATGGCTGGAACTTGCTGCTCGATCTGGAGATGAATCAACTTAATGCAGCTATTATTCCTGTTAGACATTGGATTTCCCTTAAATTTGTGGGTGACTTCATGTCAATCACCACTTGTATTTTCTCTGGATTGGCCTCGATGCCTCGATTACTCACTATGAAGGCTAGAAATTTTTCTGTAGAGACCCCACAGCCACATTTTTGCAGGGTTGAGCTTCATCTCATACTTCATGAGTATCTAAAACGATTCTTCAAGGTGCTAGATGTGGAGCTCAGCCTTTAGTGATTTTATCATCATGTCATCAATTTGGACTTTCATTGATGATTCGATCAATCCTTGGAACATATGATTTACCAGCCACTGATAGGTGGCCCCTTTATTTTTTAGCCGGAATGGCATAACTGATAACAATATGTCCCCTGCTCAGTTATGAATGAAATTTTTTCTTAATCATTGGGGTCCATCCTGATATGGTTGTATCATTAGAAGGGGTTCATGAAGCTTAGCAGCTTGTGCCCTACTGTGGCATCCATAATTAGATCAATTAGTGGAAGTGGGAAACTATCATTCGGGCAAGCATAGTTTAGGTCAGTGAAGTTGATGCAGAAGCTCCACTTGCCATTGGATTTTATTCACGAGCACCATATTTACCAACTTGGTGGGATAATCCACTTCCCTGATGGCTTTGGCCTGGAGGAGTTTAGAGACTTCTTTGTTTATGGCTTTCTGTAATTTAGGGGTGACGTTTCTTCATTTCTAATTTATGGGCTTAAAGGTTAGATCGACGCTAAGCTTATGAACAATGATTGAGGGGTCAATCCCTTGCATATCCTCTTGTTTTCAATCAAACATCTCAATATTTATGTTTAGGAACTAGATGAGGAGGTGTTTGACCTCCTTAAACAACCTGGAACCTACATATACTAGGTGTTCCAGGTCATTATCCAGTTGAACAGGTTCCAACTCCTTTGAAGGTGTGGGTTTTGTTTCCAACTCGTCCCTCATGTCCAACTCATCCAACTGTATGGTTTCAACTTTCTTCTGCTTCATTGATGCCATGTAGCACTCTCTTGCTACACATTGGTCTCCTTGGACCGCCCCCACACCACTCTTTGTTGGAAACTTCATTACCAAATGGTAGGTTGACAGGATATACCTTATAGCATTAAGGGAAGGTCTTCTCAAGAGAACATTATAAGTGAGGGGGTATCCATGAATACAAAGCGTATGATAGTCGTAGACTAACATGGGGGGTTCTCCTATCATAAGAACAAGCTGGATAGATGCTAGGGGGGAACACTCTTTCTCCCAAGAACCCCAATAAGTGGGCTCTTACTAGCTTGAGCTTGTCTTTGCCGATGACCATCTTGGGGGTGACTTAAACATGGATTGGACCTCCAATACATCTTCTGGTTAGGTTTTCCTCATGTGGGCTTTCCTTGCTGAGCTCTTCTTTCCATCCCCAAAAAATTCTCTAGAGATAACCCTGATTTCATCCATAGGTTGTTGATGCTAAGGTTGAGCTTGATACTGTGGAGGAGGAGGTGGGTTAACTCGATTTTGATTGTTTATAGCACAATTGACCCCATTGGATTAAGAACTTGATCTCTTTTTTCAATTGGTACAATCACTGGTAAAATGGCCATAGTCTCGGTGGTACTCACAGTACTTCGTGGCATCCCGTTTACTAGGATTCACCTTTATCCGAGGTGGCCACTTTAAGAACTTTTCATTTTGGACCTCATAGAGCACTTGTGATTCCATGACATTAAGGGGTTTGAACTATCGTAGGGGCATACTTCGTATGTAGCTTCTAAGGTGGAGGACCTAGGCTGTCTCTAGTATCACCTCTCATTTTTGTGGAACGATCCCCACCTCTCCTTGGAAATCGTTCTCTACTTTAGTCCTTTTTGGGACTTCGATCTCTTCTCTTCTTCTTCTCCCTCTCCTTATGAGTTGTGTAGTTTTCATCTTTTGAGAGGAAAGCCTCCTCGTCGTTTATATATTTCTCTACTTTTACCAACACCTCAATCATGCTAGCTTGAGTATTTTGGCAATTGAGAACTCTAAATCTTTCGATTGTACTCCCAGCTAGGCGGTAAAAACTATGAGGAAAACTTCTCATCGAGGATGCCACTTTTAGGGACTCCGAGTTGAACTTTTGGACGTAATTCTATAGCGACTTGTTCAGACCTGACCCTCACACCCAGTAGGTGGTAGCACGACTTACAGTAAGTTCAAGCTCCTATGAAGTGGGACATGAATGAGATGGAGAGCTCTCTAAAAGAGGAAATCGACGCTGAATTTAATCAATTAAACCACACCAAGGCCAAGCCCTTCAGAGTGATGGCTAAGACTCGACAACTTATTGGATCGTGGTATCTATGCAGTTCCATCTGATTCTTGTATGTGTTAAAGTGGTCTATGGGATTCTTCGTCCTGTCAAATATTTTTATTTGGGGCATCCTCAATTTTTGGGGAAGAGGAAAGTATAGCACTTCGGGGGTGAATGACGACTTTGTTTACTGAACTAGAGCATCCATGGTCATCGAGNATAGTCCATTTCATCTACATCTCTCTTTACATTATGAATGCTTTTACTTTAAACATGAGTAGCTAAGCTTTTTGTTGTCCAATTCAAGGGAAACTTCCTCTTGGGTATGCTAAATCAATTCTTCTCCATTTTACCTTGTAGTATAAAGTGCTTGGTTTGACTAGTTTAAGTGTGGACGTGGTTGTGAGTTCTTGATACACCGTAGACTTGTCACGGGGTATGCTTGAGCCTATACTCCACATTAGTCCCTCAGTTCCTACGAATCAATCAAGCACCTAGGCACCATTGGTTGAATGAATTGAGTTGATTTGGGATCCCCATTGGAATGACCTCTTTGGATTAGCCAACCTTGTTCTTATTGCATTTTACCACCAATCTTCACTCACCCAAACACCAATTCACAAGATTTTACACTTTTCTATTTTTTCAAAATCACATTTACCATAATTCAAACTTCCTTCCCTAAGGAGACAACCTTGAAATACTCCATTCCATGGAAACATGACACTCGAAAGTCTCTCTACGCTTGGAGAGCATTTTTGCACACACACATTTTTCCTATTTCTAGCATTGAACTTGAGGGAGAGTGACACTCGCCTATGCACATAAGCCATATATAGTATTTTCGGAGATTAGGGTGAACGAAAATCAAGTAGTGAGCTGAGGTATTCCTTAAGAGCTTTGAATACCTCCCCACATCGCTCATCCCAATGAAAAGCTGATTTTAGTAGTTTGAAGAATGGCTGGAACTTGCTGCTCGATCTGGAGATGAATCAACTTAATGCANTTAGGGGAGTTTTCCATTACTTGGGGAAGAAGGTTACAGGATTTCATCTATCTTTTGGTACAGATGTTTCATCCTTATTTATAATATATAGTTGTCTGGCGTGATCTTTGTTGTCCCCTTTCCCCCGGTAACCAATGCAATCCTGACATAATCAGTGTGATCCCCTTGGGATTGTTACGACTTATGTGGCATAATATTTGACCATTACAGATCACGTTCCCCATGCGTGACATGTCCTTCTGAAAAATATGAGCAATCTTTGTCAATATGTGCACGAGGATCATGTTGGTGGTAATTCTTGATCTGCGCCTCCTGAGCTAATGATTATGAACTAAGAGGTCTAAGCTAATGTGTTTGAGCTAAGGGGTCTGAGCCCGGTCTTAGCCTTGGCCAATTTTTGGTATTATCAACTCCTATTGTTTTTAAGTGTGTAAGAATGCTAGCTTAGCATTACTTTTCCATGTATTATGACTGTAACACTAATGTAATTGTGGGGCATGGGTCAAACTATGACGCGTTGTACTTTGTTATCACGTAATGCGCTCGTGTGATGTGAGGCGTTATGAGTAACATGCTTGGGAGAACTGGGTGTGACAATGGGTGTCTTTATGCTATACGTTATAAAACTTGGTGTCTTCATGCTATGCGGTATAAAACTCAAGGGGTCTTTGTGCCATTTGTGAAATGTCAGTAGGTCGTTATGTCATTTCACTTAAGGTCAGCGAGTCCATAAGATTTTTGTAAGAAATGACAAGCAAGAAGCCTATAAAAGCAGCTTATTGGCTAAAAAGCTTTCACCACATTTCAAAACCATCTGCTTTAGTGATTTTAAAGCTTCAGAAAAAATGGAAGTTCCCTTTCATCAGATGGAGAAAGTGGACATCTGATTCAAATTTTTGTTCGTTTCACTATTTCAGCTTTTGTGTGTGTGTGTGTGAGAGAGAGAGAGAGAGAGAGAGAGAGAGNATTCGTTTCACTATTTCAGCTTTTGTGTGTGTGTGTGTGTGAGAGAGAGAGAGAGAGAGAGAGAGAGTGAGGGAGGGAGAGAGTGAGAGAGAGAGTGAGGGAGAGAGAGAGTCAGTCTCCATGTCTGACTCTGAGATCCTTCTCTTTTTTCTAGCGTCAATCTTCGCTGTGCTTCTGATCTTTAATCTCATCAAAGTAAAACGAAACAGTATGAATCTTCCACCAGGCAACATGGGTTGGCCTTTTCTTGGTGAAACCATCGGCTATTTGAAGCCATACTCAGCAACTACAATAGGAGAGTTCATGGAGCAACATATATCAAGGTAATTTATCAACAAAAAAGAAAACCAATTTTAAAAATCCAACCAATATTTTTAACCTGATCACTCAAACTATGAATCTCTGCAGGTTTGGGAAAATTTACAAGTCGAATCTGTTCGGTGAGCCGACGATAGTCTCAGCAGATGCTGGGCTGAATAGATTCATACTACAGAATGAAGGGAGGTTGTTTGAATGCAGCTACCCAAGAAGCATAGGTGGGATTCTTGGCAAGTGGTCCATGCTGGTTTTGGTTGGAGAGATGCATAGAGACATGAGGATTATATCTCTCAACTTCTTGAGCAATGCTAGGCTGAGGACTCATCTCCTACCAGAAGTTGAGAAGCACACCTTGCTGGTTCTTAACTCTTGGAAGGACAATTCTGTATTTTGTGCTCAAGATGAGGCCAAAAAGGTAATTGGGCACTAATAAAAACATGTTTACTTGTTCCTCTGCTTGAACTTACTAAGAATAATTGGCAGTTCACATTCAATTTGATGGCAAAACATATCATGAGCTTGGATCCTGGAAAACCTGAGACTGAGCAACTGAAGAAAGAGTACATTACTTTCATGAAAGGAGTGGTTTCTGCTCCTTTGAATTTCCCTGGAACTGCATACAGGAAGGCCTTACAGGTAACATCTATACAGAGATGTGATAGAATCTTAGCTCAGAGGATTCATATTTTTCTATTAGTTGGCCCGGGCCCATATTTTTGGTTCGCACTTGTTAGCTACGTACCAATTTTGTTCATTTTTTTTTAATCTTTTGATGTAGTTCTTGCTTACTAATTTTTTTTTTCTCCAGAAATAAGCACTTAATATATTTTTTGGGCTCTGATAGTACAGTTAGAATTTTGGCTCATTTAACTGGACTCAAACCGAACCATACTTAGAGTTTAAGCTCATAGTAGTCTTTTTCAATCTTTGCATATTAAGCTTTTTTTTTCCTTCCCAAATCGACGGAAGATTATTTTGTCTTGTTACAGGTGGGTTTATTTACAAGATGAACTTGTGAAACAAACCATGTGATAATAGGGTATATCCTATTTGTGGCCTGTAATTTACTAGCTTTTTTACTTGACAGTCTCGATCAACGATCCTGAAATTTATTGAGAGTAAAATGGAAGAGAGAGTTACTAAAGTGAGGGACAGAAGTGAGAACTTGGAGGAACATGATCTTCTTGGATGGGTGTTGAAGCACTCAAACCTTTCTAGGGAGCAAATCCTGGACTTAGTTTTGAGCTTACTCTTCGCTGGCCATGAAACTTCGTCAGTAGCAATAGCTTTGGCTCTCTACTTTTTGCAAGGCTGTCCTAGTGCTGTTCAGCAATTGAGAGTAAACATCTAAAGAGTCTCCTTTCTCCTTTCTGCTTTATAAATTGTTTTAAATACGTACTACATGTAATTTCTATCAAGTCCATTGTATGGATCACTTATTTTTGTCCATGTATTCAGGAAGAACACACTGAAATAGGCAAAGCCAAGAAGCAAACAGGAGAGATGGAACTCAATTGGGATGACTACAAGAAAATGGAATTCACTCAATGTGTAAGCTCTCTTGCTCACCTTTTAACTTTTAACATGGTTGCAAATATCGTCCTATGGTACCATTATGCCGAGCCATATTCGAGTTTTTATCTTCTATTCTAATACTGTTTCCGCGTTTCGTTTAAACCACCAGTCCCAAACGAGAGTCGACTGAATTATCCGTGATGTTTAACTTCTTCTATCTAGTTTTGCATGTATATTGCCAATAAGATTCTGCAACTTCACCACCCATGTGTTTTGGTGTCTTCCGCGTCGAGAACAGATACCACAACATTAAACCATGAACTAAAATCACATGGAAGGTAAGAAACACAGACACAAATATTTCGTTAGGGTGAGTTTACTTATATCAGATATCTCGTATCAGTTTATTAGATATGATACTCATTAAATTTTCAAGAATACGCATTTAATACTCCTCCTAAAAACTTGATAATTATCTACTATTATGACATGTCAAAATAATATAAAATAAATTTATTACATTATTATCTTAGTTACAAATACTTCTAAACAAACTAAATAATTAAATATTAATTTCGATGCCTTTAATTAGTCATTTTATTTTGTGAATACTATAATAATATAATATATATATTTTTAAAACTAAAAAAATTTTTCAATTTTTTTATTATGTTTGATGGTGCTAATTATGNAATATAATATATATATTTTTAAAACTAAAAAAATTTTTCAATTTTTTTATTATGTTTGATGGTGCTAATTATGTCAATTGAGCAGAATAGTTCACTCTCGAATGAAGTCTCTTGCTCTTCGAATCTTATATTGACCACCGTTCTAAATTACAGAGTGATATACATATTTTTTTTTCTCCTTTTTTTTCGTTGGAGGCCCTGTCCCATACTTATATAGTCCGATTCTTGTTTCTATCTGACATCACTTTCCTAGCTCATACTTAGTTAAAATCATTTTCATGTATCATAAAATGTTAAAGAATTATCAAAATATATAATTATTAAGTCGGTGCAAAGTAATAAAAATATAAAATATATTTTGTTATAGACATGTCTTGATCATATCCATGTCTTATTATTTTTTTATTTTATAGTATCATACATATATTTCATATTCATATCCGTGTTATGTTCATAAAATGGAAGTCTGTCAAATATGTGTTTATTTGGTTATTTATTTTGTGGCATGGTTGTGTAGGTTATCGGTGAGACTCTAAGGCTAGGAAATGTAGTGAGGTTTCTCCACAGAAAAGCTATCAAAGATATTCGGTACAAAGGTAGGTGCAGAAATTGACAGTTTCAGTAGATGTATATATGAGTTCACTTGTCGGCCGGAGAGTCGCCGGAACCTTACCCACTTTGGATTTATATGTTGTTTTATGTGATTTAATTAAAGGGTATGACATTCCACGTGGGTGGAAAGTGCTTCCAGTGATTGCAGCCGTGCATTTGGATCCTTCACTGTTTGATCAACCACAGGACTTCAATCCATGGAGATGGCAGGTCTGTCAATTTTCCTGAAAGTAGTTAATTAATGGCATGTTTTTATTGATTAATTTCCTTTTTTTTTTTTACCTAATTTGATATGGCAGAATATTAAAGTAGAGTTTTTTCAAAAATTACCGTGATTTTTATTATTTTATTATTATATTATAATTTTAAATTTTAAATTATCCCTTTTTTTGGTGAAAAACATAATTAAGGCATATTTTCAATAACGATATCGTGTTTGCAAAACAATTTCAATAGAAGTCTTCAGAAGCATATTTGTGACATGCATTCATACGAATAAACTACTCAACAATCCATGCTTACTTAAAGGCAAATAATATTTCATAAAATTTAATGTGAAACGATTCATTAGACACAAATTTATAAATACATGAGATATGAATAAAATATTTTTTAACATTGATCTGTTAAAATTCGAGAGGAACTCACCTCACCTGACTTTTTTTATAAACGGCATTATTTGTAAATATTTGCCTGACAGTGTAAGATTGCACGCCTGATAGTTGGCTAAAGACATAAACGTCCCTCCAGTGTTCCCAGAATAGGCAACACTCACTCAGATTGCAAAACGATATAAATATATAAAACCTTTACAAATGTTAAAATAAAAAACATCAAAACAATTATTTTTTAATACCATAATAAGACTCTGTGAAGGATAAACTCTAGGATATGATCAACTTGAAGAGCCCCTTACCTTCCTCCTCCTCCACTCGTGCGTGTGGGGGAAGAGAGAGGATGATTAAAGCCCCATATGGAAGTGGGGTTTTCACGTGCACGTGCATGAGTGCTTTCCGTCTTTTTATTGTCCCCACTGCTTCCTCTTCTTTGGAGGAATAAACTCTAATTCAACAACATTATTGTGCAAGGCCAAGACTTCGTTGCACAAAAAAGGTGCAGTGCTGAAAATAATTCTTGAAAGAATCGATCTGAAAACATAGACCCTGATTCAAGTTAAATTCAAGTTTAACTTGGGATGAACTCGAACTGGAATCTCATGTTTCACAACTCCGACTAGAATGCGAGTTACAATTTGCATTGAATTCAGCTTCAAATCGGGTTGAAACTGATTTCACTAGCTCGGTTCACTAATCCGTATTCTCCATGTGGTTGCAGTATAGTCGTGGATCATTTGCTGCCACAGCAAGCACAACAAGAAGTAATAACTTCATGCCATTTGGGGGAGGATCACGACTCTGTGCAGGATCCGAATTAGCCAAACTCGAAATGGCTGTATTCATTCACCATTTGGTCCTCAAATGTCACTGGGAGCTAGCTGCTGCGGATCATGCTGTCGCCATCCCATTTGTCGATTTCCCAAAAGGCCTACCAATACGAGTCCAACACCACACTCTCATATAAAAACAATGTTCCGTGAAAATTAATGACTTGGAAAAGTGACCTCAGTCTTGACCTTAGCGTCTCATGTTTGATAGAGAAAGGTAACAAATTAAAGCTTGTTCGTCTGATGAAGTTGAGTTTCTTGGACTTTCCGACGACATAGTTTGTCTCTTTTGATGTTATTTGTCGCTCACATTAAGTGAGGCCCGTCCACATACAGAAGTGCAGTACAAAGATATATAGGACCACATTTTGTTGTATCTTGTAAATTTTACACCCCCTTGGTCCTAGAGGCTTTGGGTGTTGTGGTAATTATTCATTTTTATGTTACATGGTTTTGCTAATGTACTGTAATTTGCTGTAATATCTCTCCCCATGTGGGTTAGCCTGTGTACACATTTGATATTTCCTGAACTTTGTTGTGGAAGGAGTCTCGTTCACTGACCGCCTTTTTTTACTGTAATTTGCTAAAATCTAGATGAGTTTTCATACAGTGGTGTTGTGCATTGTGAGCATGGAAGTTCTACATCATGCACAGTCAATGACTATTGTGCTCACCCTCAAACTTTTTTTTTAATAGCATTATATATATATATATATATATATATATATATATATATATATCCAAATAATTGTTACACTCATACGTAAATAAATATCATTTTTTGGCCAAATATCATTTTTTGGCCATGTTTTCGACATGTCTGAATAAGTTTTTGAGCATTTTGAGTTCATTTTGTAATTAAATTAAAAAGAAGAGAAATTGAGACTATTTTGTCACTATGCAAAAATTAGTGTCATTACACAATAATTGCATATATAAACAAAGACAATTTCGATGATATTGATAAATTATAATAAATTTATCTTGCAACGATTTTAAAATATAAAAACTAGTCGGTCTCAATTATAAATGGTTGTAATTAATCCAATTTTTTTGGTTTTTTTGTTGTTTTTCACTTTTATACAATATAAATACTGTTTTTTAGCCCTTTTGTTTTGAATAAATTTTTTAGTATCAAATATGATACGAATAAATATTAATATATTATCTTACTTTTATGGATTTTGTGAGGAATAAACTTGATGAAACCCTGAGCCAAAGTTCAACTCTACCTAGCGCGGTTTGGTTATAACGCCTGGCTTAGCTGACCTCTTTACCTCAACAACTCTTCATGAGGGAAACATCTTTCAGACCAACAAACAATGCCTAATCAGGTTGGTCACAATCTTGGAAGCTCGGATATGGGTACTGCTTGATGGTTTTCCCCGACCTCCAAACACGAACTCGAATTATGTGTATATGACTTATAGAGATTAGTGAGTGTTACTCTCTCTCGAGTTCAATGCGAGAAGTGGAGAAAAATATGTCTGAACAAAACGTGTGTGTGTGCAAAATTTCTCCCAAAGTGTAAAGAGAGTCTTGTAATGTCGTGTTTTACTTGGAATGAGTATTTCAAGATTGTCTCCTCAGAGAAGGAAAGGTTGGTGTTTTGAAGGATGATTTGTGCAAAGTAAAAATTGAAAAATATTTGTGATTTGAAGTTTGGTGGTTTGTGATTTGTAAAATATGCAAGAAAGTAAGGTTGACTAATACATAGAGGTCATTCCAATGTAAATGCCAAATCGACTCATATTTTTCAACCAATGGTGTCTCGATGTTTGATTGCTTCGTAGGAAGTGAGGGACTAATGTGATTGTGTTAGACAAAAGCATACCTCGTGACAAGTCTACAGTGTATCAAGAGTCCAGAACCACGTCCGCACTCAACCTAGTCAAACCAAATACTCTACGCTACAAGGAAGAATGGAAGAGAGCCGATTTCACATACCCAAGAGGAAATACCTCTTGGATTAGCCAACTAAAAGTTTAGCTACTCATAATAAAGACAAGAACAAACATGAAGTGAAGAAACATGATAGTGAAATCAAACATAGACTTGTATTAATGAAGAATAAAGTTTAAACTACAAAAGAGATAACATTCATGTTTAAAATGCAAAGCTTGAAGAGAAAATACCCAAATGTCAAAATGAACTACAAGAACACTTTGCTAAACTTGATTACAACTTGAATAAATGAGATTAGAGTGTAAAAGAGAAAGATTACAAGTTAAATGGAGCTTAATACAATGAAAATGGTGAAGGAAAATATAAAAGTCCATCTTCTCTCTCTAAAATTTCATCTTCTACCTTGGAGCTTCTCTTTCTAAAAGTATAATAATATGAAAATGTGTGAAAAAGCTTTACATTTTCATCCATCCTCTCTCCCTTAGCATGAGTGACTAACTTGGAATGATTGAAGAGAGGTTGCCCTGACATCTTTAAAACCACATGAAGAGCTCCTAACCCCAAAACTTCAGATTGAAAGCATAAGAGAGGGAAGAGGCAAGTGAGAGAGAGGGAGTGGTTGGAAAGGCATGAGAGGACAAAAGGTGCCCCCCTATTACTGAAAAGGCTATCACGCTCTGAATTTCAACAAAGTGTGATTAAAAAAATTTATTTTGTTTATTCTAAAAACACATGTCAATTTGTTATAAAAACATGTATAAAAGTATCTCTTTAGTTTAAATAAATAATTTTTTTAGAAAATTTTGGCATAATTTTTTTTGAAAATCGGGCATTCAAATAATTTGTGAGAGCTACTTGGGAGAGCATTAAACGTAATAATTATTCCTAATTAGTCATTGACATCATATCAATCATATACATCCCTTCTCATGATATCCACAAATAAGTCATTCCCGTTCAATACAGGGGTGACAAATGGAGGGCCACGAAGTCCTCCCAAACCTAGGTTATAATCTAATTATCTAAAATTCTTCGTCATAAACATAATATATAGAATATCTAAAATCTTTATAAGCATTTAAAATGTCTCAATCTATACATATTTTTTCAAATTAACCAAGATATAAATCACTTACAAATCCTCAATAATGTACATCATCATACATTGTTCTTTACATACTCTAACTAAATATATAAAAATCATAATGACTATCTTTTGCCTCAATACTCCTACTATGCAGCCCATCAATATATGACCATAACTGAAAATGTTAAATGATAGGGGTGAACAACCACACACACAGTAGGATAATTATTTTCTCAAATATTTACAAAGTTTTAAATACCAACATTTTACAAATCATACGAATAAATAATGAAAACTTTATATAATTTAGTATAGGAACAAGATAATAAGTAGAGCATTTATAAAAATCTCCCAACACATCATCATTAGAATTATACAATGTATAAATTAAAGGTTTATACATTTTAAGCCAAACTATCGTAGAAAATATCATTCATACCTCGCATATGGACAATATAATTAATCACACCGGTTCATGCATAAACCATATCTAGGGAACCTTTTGGGTTTTGCACCCTACAATCTCATCACCCTTCTTACTATTTAAGAGGAACGTGTAGGGCATAACTTGTGATGCCACATAGACCATCACCGAAAGCAACTATCATAACCAATTCTCCTTAGGACTAGTAACCGCCTTGACAATCCACTCAATAGGCCTCAATCATCTACTAATCCTCTACTTGTCAGTATCGAGCATACAGTTTTTAAAAATCATTATTTTCTATATTAATAAATCATTTTAAAAACACATGTCATAACCTTGACATTTTATCAAACATGTAGTAGGCTCAAATCTCAAAATTTACATTTTTAAAGCAACATAACCATTTCTAAGAGGATAAGTTATATATATTATGTACAAAATCATAACATACTTCAAAACCCCAAAATCATAAGTTTAATCAAATACTCATAACTAACATCAAACTAGGGTTTCAAACCCACAACACAAAAATTATTTACATTTCCAAGAGAATAAGTCATATATATTATGTACAAGATCATAACATACTTCAAACCTCCCAAATCATAGGTTTAATCAAATACTCATAACTAAAACCAAATTAGGGTTTCAAATCCATAACACTAAAATCATTTTTATGCATGTGGGTTCACAATTCATGGCATACTCAACACTAAATTAATGTTTATAACAAATATTTGACCATCAAACACATAGTAAGATTTAACTAAAAAAAATACATGAGATGCACAATGTAAATACAATAGAGAAGAAAATTCCACTTAAGAATCAAGAATTTCAAGTTTAATCTCCAAAATTCTCAAGCCAAGCCCAAGCCATTGATCCTTTCTTCTATCTTCATCTCTCTTTCTCTCTCTAATTCTAAGGTAGGTGGAGGAGTTTTGGGTGAGAGATATAAGAAAAATGAGAGGAATGAAGGTGAAAATGGAGTTATAAGGGCTGAAATTTGCTCTAGGTACTGTTCACAAAACCAAAAAAAATGTATTTTCTCCAAAATTATAGTTTTGCCCTAAAACTTCTTCAATTTGATTTGTATGACTACTTTAAGGTTTTTTGACGTTCCGAATCTATTTTTAATATTATTTTAGGCTAAAAACATTTATTTTTATGAGTTATATAAAAATTCAAGCCAAATTATTTCCAAAATTTCAAATTTATAATTTTTACCCTTTTAGATCGTAATATCGACTAAATGTCCAACTCAACTTTTTTTGTCGCTCTTGGCTTCAATAGAGATGTTTTTTTAACCTATAAACTTTTAGAATGATTATTTAACTACCCTTCTAAAGCTTACATGCCTCCAACTCTATATTTGACCTAAAAGTCATTACGTGCAAACTTTAAACCTTACGATTATTTTACGAATTACGCTTCAAAGTTTTCAAGACAATTTTTTATTATTTTACAAAAATTCTTAATGTAGTATATATATATATTCAAAAATAATATGGAATCTTAAAATCTACCCCCTAAAAGGAAGTTTCGTTCTCGAAACTTAGGCTCCGTAGTCTAAGTCTCAATTGCTAACCAACAATCCCNAAATCTACCCCCTAAAAGGAAGTTTCGTTCTCGAAACTTAGGCTCCGTAGTCTAAGTCTCAATTGCTAACCAACAATCCCAATAGAGTGAACTCCATTCACCAACCCAAGAATATATGTTCAAGTTTTTTTTTTAAGCTATCAAACTTTTTTTATAATCCGTGTGACTATCAAAACTAATTTCTCATCACGATTCACCACTAGGTTGTTGATTTCATTGTTTACTCGTCACCTATAGTAATCATTTAATTCTCGATGTTATTGTCATTCAAGGTACTATTACACTCTTGCCCCATGCTCTTATCCACCATGTTCTCATCCATACTACTCTAGAGTGCACGACTCAAGACATGGCATGACTCATGACATGACCCGGCTCAAGAGATGCATGACTCTATCCATCCAAGTTCTTAACCACACCTACTTCATATACTTCTCATACTTGATCAAATATTATTATCAATCTTTAGAGAATTTTCACGTACACTCAGTATTATTGTCACAATATTTTAACGTTTTAATAATACCACTAA